GTGACGTATTCGATATGCCAAACACAGTAACAACGAAGTCTCCAATGGAGATGTTACTGGGCCCGCTCGAGCAAATCGATGATCAACGGGAGGGCTTTTACTTACTTAATTCGATTTGTCATTTCTTTAAGTTTTGTTGTAGCAAGCAATATGAAATTAAATTGTTATATGTCTGCCAAGGAAGCAGGCTGGGGGATAGCAGGGACCCTGGGACAGTGGTGTGGGTGGGATTGATATTGCAATGCTGTATGCCTGAAATAATTCTATTATGAACAGCTTAGTAAACCATTGGGGTCTTAATTATATATATATGTATGTCCTCTCGTTGTTCATGGATTTGCTCCAGCGGGCCCAGTAACATCTCCATTGTGAGACTTCTTGTTACTGTGTTTGGCATATTGAATACTTTTGGTAGCTTGCCAGGCTCTCCGAGAGGGGTAGAGGAATTGAACCCGGCTCAGACACGCTGGCTACATGCAAGGCAAACCCCCTACTCCAGTCCTATATATGTATATATGTGTGTATGTGTGTGTATAATTATAACCAAAAAAGTTTCCCTTTACCTATACTCTTTTAAAATTTTTAAATTTTTAAAAACTTTTCTTTTACGCACACCTGGTAGTGCTCATGGCTCCATGCTCAGGAATCACTCCTGGTGGTGCTCAGGAAACCATATGAGGTGCCAGGGATTGAACCGATATTGGTCATGTATAAGACAAACATCATACTCACTATTCCTGCTCCCCCCTTTAAAATTTATTTTAATTAATGATTTTTTTAAATCACCATGAGATACACAGCTACAAATCTGTTCATGATAGACCTGCCCCAACTTTTTTATTGTTATTTATTTATTTATTTATTTTATGTAGGATTTCTGCTATATATTCAGCCACTGATTAGCTGATTGATTTGGGCATGAACTCCACCTTACTTTTTTTCCATAGTTTTATTTATTTATTTATTTTTCTTCATATATTTATTTATTAAATCACTGTGGGAAAAGTTACTAAGCTTTCAGGTTTAAGTCTCGGTCATACAATGATCAAACACCTCTCCCTTCACCAGTACTCATTTTTCACCACCAAGAACCCCAATATATCCCCCGTCCCAACCCTCCCAATGCCTGTGAGGCAGATGATTTCCACTTAACTCTTCTCTACATTGATTACATTCATTACTTCGACAAAAGATGTACCATTATTGTTTAGAATTTCCCACCCTCCAACATCAGAATTGCTGAGAAGGCATTGTGAAATACTTTGTTTTCTATAGCTGGTTATGAGAATCATATAATGATTTTGGATTTCTGCAAAGAGCCAGATAATTACGAGATTGGTTTCTGTACGTCTGGTGTAATGTCTGTGCCAGAGAGCCACTTGTGGGGGGCAAATTGTGACCTCGCTAGGACGTGAAGGATGAGCCGGTACCATCCCCCTTCCCATGAGACTGCAGTTGCCCCATCACAGCTGGCTCATACCTGGCTTTCCTATAAGCTCTGAGGTGGTGGCCACCTTGGTGCCAGGGGGGAAAAAGGCAGAAGGGAGAAACACCCTTTCGCTCCCAGGGAGGCATAGCACCGATGTTTAACGCATGGTCCATTCACTTTTCTGCTGCAAGCTGCCGGGCTCTGGATTAAGTCTTTTTGCCTCTGGAGCCATGGCCGTGCCGGAGAGTTGCTCGTGGGGGGCAACTCGTGACCTTGGTAGGGTATGAAGGATGAGCCGGTACTGTCTCCCTTCCCATGAGACTGCAGTTGCCCCGTCATCGCTGGCTCATACCTGGCTTTCCAATAAGCTCTGAGGCAGCTGCCACTTTGTATGCGGTCCAGATGCATTTCTGCCAAAAGCCGCTGGATTTTGAGATTTGTTTCTTAGTCTCTGGGATCATGGCCGTTAATCAGCTTGATCAGGAGCCAGAGAGGCTATTTGTAGGTGGCGACTCGGGGTCTCGCTGGGATGGGGAGGAAAGGGCCGGTTCCACCCCCATCTGGTGTCTCATCACTGCAGGCCCAAACCTGACTGTCCAGTGGCCTCTGGAGGATGGCAGTCACTGGGCCACCAGGGGGAACAGGCCAACGTATGAAACCTATTCCCACCTGGAGTGGCCCAGCCCTAGTAACCTACTGCAGGAACAGGACGCATTTCTGCCAAAAGTCTTTGGGTTCCGAGATTCATTTCTGAGTCTCTGGGTTCATGGCTGTTAAGCAGTTCGATTAGGAACCAGAGAGGCCATGCTTCCAATTATGTAGCTGAGCTGGAGGTGGTTTGTGGGTGTGTCTCCCACATACCTGACTTTTGGCTGTTTACTTTCTTGGTAAACTTTGCCCCAAGTTTTTGAGGTCTGGCCAAAGGCACAGCAGCAATTTTGGGGTATCTGAAAGTCTGATGGTGCCATTAGGCTGCTGATGCACTTGCCTCACAGGTACAGAATGACCTGCTAGCAGCACCATACCCCTGCAAATAAAGTTTTGATATCCAAAAGGACTCATAAAGATCAAGAAAAAGATATTCAAAAACCCTATCAATAGTGGAGAAGAAATGAACAGACAATTCTCAGAGAAACATAGGAGGATAACCAGGAGGCACTTGAAAAAATGCTCAGCACCTCTTATCACTTGAGAAATGCAAATCTAGACAACAATGAGATACCATCTCACAACACTGAAAATGGCACATATCAAAAAAAAGTAGAGCCAATCTGGGAATGTTGTCTATCACTACCTCTGTAGAAAACAGCATGGAGAGTTGTCAGTAAACTTAGAATTGAACTGCCATATAACTCAGCAAGCCTACTTTTGGGAATCTACACCCAAAACATAAAAACATTCTCTTAAAAGGACATAGGCATACCACTATTCATTGTTGCACTCAGTACAATAGCTAAAATACGGAATTAAGCGAGGTAGCCAATGACAGACAAATGGATTAGGAAGGTGTGGTATATATACACAATGGAATAGTATGTGGCTGTAAGAAACTATGAAATCAAGCAATTTGCAGCAACCTTCTTGAAAATGGAAGTTATCATGTTGAGTGAAGTAAGCCAGAAGAAGAAAAACAAACACCAGATGATCTCACATATCTGTGCTATATAGAATACTGGATGAGGAAATAAAGTAAAAGGAGGATGCCTATGTTACCCTTGACCCATGCTTAGAAAGAAGGACAGAGTAGAATAAATAAAGGGGAGAAGAGAAGAACATTAAGTAACACGTGAACAGGCATCAGGGCCTCAATTATTCTGGGGATATTGGTGAGTGGTATAGCCATATCCAAAACACAGACTCAACAAAACTGAAAACATGATAACTAAGCTGCAACCACTGATGCTTTGTATTATGCCTGTCAATTTTACAGATGAGGATGGAGTGAGGTTTGGTGGGGAGGGAATATAGGAACACTGGTGGAGGGAAGTTGACACCATGGTCAGATTGGATTGGAATTGAAATATTATGTGCCTAAAACTTATCAATTATTTTGTAAATCACAGTTTTTAATAAAAAATTAGGAAGGGCCAGAGAGATAGTACAGAGGTAAATAACTTGCCGTGCATAGGGTAAACCTGGATTCAATCCCTGGCATCCCATAGGGTTCCCTGTGCTCCACCAGGGGTGACTCCTGAGCCTGGAGTAAGTCCTGAGCACAGTAAGGTTGGCCCAAATTCCAAAAATAGGTAGAGAAAAACATCCCCAATAATATGGAAACTTTTCTAAATCACATCATCTAATAAAAAAACTTCTAGCCAAGAACTAAGAATTTCCAGTAGGTATTTACACACATACATATATACTAGGACTGGAGCGACAGCACAGCAGGTAGGGCGTTTGCCTTGTACGTGGTTGACCCGGGTTTGATTCCTCCGTCCCTCCAGGAGAGCCTGGCAAGCTACCGAGAGTATCCTGCCTGCACGACAGAGCCTGGCAAGCTCCCCGTGGTATATTCAGTATGCCAAAAACACTAACAAGTCTCACAATGGAGATGTTACTGGTGTCCACTTGAGCAAATCGATGAAGAACAAGAAGACAGTGCTACAGTGCTGACAACGGCATATAGATGGAAAAGAATCATATTTTTGGCCACACCTCACTGTTTCCATGGCTTACTCCTGGCTCTGTGTTCAGGGCTCACTCCTGGTGTAGCTTGGGGGACCATATGCAATGCCAGGGACTGAATCAGATTGGCTGCATGCACGGCAAAGCCTGGCAAGCTACTTGTGATGTATTCAATATGCCAAACACAGTAACAAGTCTCAAAATGGAGATGTTACTGTGCCCACTCGAGCAAATCGATGAACAATGGGAGGACAGTGCATGTAAGGCAAGTGGCACCCTAACTTCTTAACCATGCTCCTTAGTAAAATATGATTGTAATTTCTCAAAACCTACATATACAGATGTAGCTATATGTATACATATATAAGGCCTAGAGAGAAGGAAAACCAAAAATAAATACAGGCTGTTAGGGTAATAAGAGTAAAGAAAATTTTATTCTAGGAAAAAAATAAAGAATCACCCTTCCCTGGTCCACACACAACTATTATAATTATTCCAAAAATAAATTAAAAAAGGAATATATATCAGAACAATAATTCAAACTTACTTGTTACTGGCAATTGAACACAATTATAGTATTCCAAGTTTGCTCTAACCTATCTGTTAGAATCCAGATTATTTAAAATTGGGCATGTTACAAGTCCTCTTATTACGATAGTTTACATTAAAAGGAAAGGAAATCAATGACAGCTGCTCCAGTTACCCTGGCAATTTTGCAATACTTTGCTGCTTCCAGTGTTTGATTACAACACTGAAATATTAATATACCAGTCTACATGTACCTTCTGAGTATTCTGCTATAAAAAATTTAGTATTCAGATCACATCCAATGATCCATAGTCCCTATATTTAAAGAGCTCACAAAAGGCACATAGTTGGCCATATTCAGGTGCATCAAGAAAAACAAAAGCAATATATCTATTTATACTGCCCCTACTTGTCTTACCGATAGCTGGGTAATGAGTTGCTGTAGGCTGCGAATTATCTCTACATTTTGTTTTAATTCCTGGTCTTCCAAAGTCTCCATTAGTTTTTGAAGGTCCACTTTGCAGCTGAAAATCCAAGCAAAGGAAAACAAGGGTTAATCATATTGCAAAGGCTGGAGGATCCATGATTATAGATAAAAGGGTATAGGTGCTAACCAACAACAGGGAAGAAACTTACGCTGCATGTTTCCTGAGCTCTTCTAGCTTGGCATTCATTTTTTCATTCGCTTGTTCTGTCTGCAACAAAGACCCAGGAGATCATTAGTGGCAGTACCTGACAGTCTCACCTAATTATGCCCTCTCTTTTATGGATTAAAATCTGAGTAAGAGAGTTTGCCTCCTTTGATGTAATAGAATTTAGTGAGAAATACTGTTTTAAACGGAGTATTGAAAATCAGTTCTTCAATCAACACGAACTACTAAAAATAGCATCTGAGCAGCTGGGTCCATACTTGCCATGAAGCTCAACTATAGTGTACAGTGTAAAGCTCTGATTCCATAGAGAGTTTTGCAACTAGGCACGGTGGGGAGAGGAACAATGTTTCCTGGCATGCTACTGCCAGCTGTTTACAAAACAAAACAAAAAAGCTACTTACATTAAACTACTCCTACACTACACTGTTCCCTAGCCCCAGAATACAGGCATAAAACATAAAATGGCCTCACACTGCATATTGAGCTAAGATTTTTTCAACTCCTTTTTTCAGAGGAGAGCAAGATGTGCAAAATGATGGAAGAGAAGAAATGGCAGAAAACAACTACATTTGGGGGGATTTATAGTTATCATTTTATTTCCATCTCATTATATGTAAAATGTTGGCGGCTATAGCAGATTTCGGAAGGACAATTTATATAGGACAATTGGTTGTACTTGTTAAGATGTTCTGACAGAACTTCAAGTAATAAGGTTGCTGGGCAGCCATTGTAACTATCTTATAAAGGGCAGATAGTATGAGAGTAGAATAACATTAGGTTATGTTAGCCACGCTTACATAGATGTGAAACATGTCTTCTAGAATAACTTCAAAGGTATAAAATAAAGCTCTTGAAGACAGAAAAAGTACATAAAAATCCACTACGGACATATATAGAATGACTACATTCATTTGTGTATAATATATATATATATATATGTGTGTGTGTGTGTGTGTGTGTGTACACACACACATATGAAGACTAATATCCACTGCCAGGAGAAACAGGGGCTAGGAGGATTGGTCAGTGATTGGTATCAACCACAAGTGTGGCAGGGGTGGAGGGTAGGTAAGATAGAGAATGGAAAAGTATGACAATAATAGCTGGTAATGATCATGTTGAACAAGAACTGAGTGTTAAAATTAGGTAAAGAGATAGTCCTGATTCAAACCACAATGCCCAAAAGGGAGGGAAGAGAGGTAGGGAGGGAAGGAGGGAGGGAGGGAGGGAAGGAGGGAGAGAAGGTGAGAGAGGGAGAGAGAGAGGAAAAGTTCTTGCCATAGAGGCTGGGGGTGGGGGTGGGGACGTTATGGGAGGGAAACTGGGGACATTGGTACTGGGAAATGTACACTGGTGGATAGATGGGTGTTGGAACACTGTAAGACTGAAATCTAATCATGAACAGCTTTGTAAGGGTCTTCTTCACAGTGATTTAATAAAAAAATTAAAAAAAGAAAAGAAAAGCAAAAAATAAAACCCACTAGGTCCCATTTTCATCCTTATGCTAGTAAAAAAGCAGTACAAGGCACATAGAATTTGATACCCTTTAAAGAAATCTTTAAGTAGCTTATCCTTCCTTTTCTACAAAGTATGCAGCTACATGAAGATGCATAAATTACAGATGTCAAATTACTATTGGAGGGGGGGAATACCTGGTGATGCTCAGAGGTTACTCCCAGGTATGCATGCAGGAATCACTTCTAGTGGGCTCAAGAGACTAGATGGAAAGGTGATAATCAAACCTGGCTTGGCTGCATGAAGGACTTAACCTGCTATACTATCTCTCCAGCCCCCATCCAACTACTTTTTGTTGAGAAGTTACTTTCTTTTCTGACAACAGTTATGCTATCAAAGACTAAGCTGTATATAGCAGAAAAGCATTACTGGCAGAATCAGTACATACTGATAGAAGAAGGTTATCAGATAGATAATAGGATGCAGAATTGGTGTAATCAGTTACACAGTGATTCACTACTTGGAAACTAACCATTTGTATAAGAAAGTAAAATTAATTTCTCATCTGTTCTATCTACTTTGTTAGGATAGGATGTGAAATGCAACATTAAGAGAAGGGATATAGAAAGGAAATAAAATCTTAGTGAACAGACACGCAGTTTTACTGACAAAGATGAGGCAAAACTTAAGATGACAAACGAATCTGGCTCTATCCTTTCTGATACTTTTGAATGAATCTACCTTGGGGAAGGACTATACTTAGCAGAAATCAGGAACTACTGCAAGCTCAGTGATGGGAAGGGTCTTGCAATGCTAGGGATTGAACCAGGGGCTCTAGCATGCAAACCATGCACTCCAGTCATGGATGAATTTATTTTAAAATGTGATTCATGGGATCAGGGATGGAGCTCAGTGTAGAGTGCAGTTCTAGCAAACATTAAATGCTGAGTCTAATCTATAGCATACACTTATTTACAATAACAGGTAAGTAAATAAGTAGCTAATAAAAAAAATAAGACCCATGTGGATTCTTTGGGGTAGATATATAAGTATTAAGTGGACAATTCTTTTAGCTTTGTATCTGGTTATAAGACCATGAATGTAACACAGAGGGTTTCCTGGAGGACATGACAATACTAAATCATTTATTTCCAGATATTTTAGCTCTCATAATAAACATGTTAAAATGATTTTAGCAACTAAAGCTAGTAAATATTTATATTGCTAGTGTTAATATAGGGGCCTCACCAAAATGATCCTCTCCAACATCTGGGCTGTCTGATCAGCTGCCTCACTCAGACCACGACTTAATTTTTCATTCTCCTCTACCAGGGACTGATTCTTCTCCATCAATGATTGTAGATTTTCTGACGGTTCCACACTAAAATAAAGGAATATATTAGAAAAATACTAATGGAAAACACCTATATCAACATTGAATTAAATATGACTGATAGACCATTTTGGTAGAGGGGATCAACTAAAAATTAACCCTTCAAAGTATGGGGAAAAGTACATCCATTGCATTCTATTCTGCAGTTTGTCAATTGGATGAACAACAAACATTTGCCCAAAATACTTTAATGGTTTAAAACAGGATTTCTATATTTTCCAATTACAACCCTTTTCACCTGAAAAATCTTTACACAACTCAAAATATACATTTATATAAAACAGGAATGCAAACCAAAAAACCACTGATTAAAGAACAAGTGTGCAAAATACAAATACAAGTCAGTTACTGGTAGTAAATCATAAATGCATTTATTTTAAAACAAATTTATTTGTTTATTTGGTTTTTGAACCATATCCAGTGGTGCTCAAAGCATACTCCTGGCTCTGAACTTAGCGATCACTCACTCCTGATGAGGCTTGGCAAACCATACAGGGTACCAGGGATGAAATGTAGGTTGTTCATGTGGAAGGCAAGTGCCATATCCACTGTACTATCACGCCAGGTATACAACATATTTGAAAATGTTATATGACCCCATTTGGAGCTACACACAACCCACAGTTTACAAAGCTTGGGTTTTGGAGCCAAAAAGATAATACATGGATGAGGTACTTGCCTTACAGATTCCTAACACCTCATATGTTTCCCCAAACACCAGCAGAAGTACTCTCAGAGCACAGACAAAGTAGTAAACCATAAGGGCTGTTGGTATGACTCAAAAAAATTTTTAAAGGAAAGAGGTTTTAAAAAAGGGAACAAAAAACCCTTTAATTTAAAATAAAGGAAAAACAAATAAAAATTCAAATAAAGGAAAAAGGTTTAGAATAGAGGTACCCAAAATTGTTCAGCATACTGTCCCGTTTTTAGAAAAAAAAATTACTCAGCACCCTTCCTCCTAAAAATATACGGTTATGGGACTGGATATGTGGTGCAGGGTTTAAGGTGCTTGCCTTACTTGCAGTTGGCCTTCGTTGGATCCCCAGCATCACATGCGTACACTTAGCAGTGCCCTGTGAGCACAGAGCCTGAGCATCACTGGTGTGCGGTCCAAAAACAAACAAAAAAGTCTTTAATTGAAGAAAGCAAGTGCCTCCCAACTGCAACTGAGGATACCACTATCTCCTAATTTTGTTCAGTGCCATCCCTGGGGACAGTATCATTCACTTTAGGAAACGCTGGTTAGAAGCTAACAATAGTTTCTAAAACAATTTTATTTCATAAATTTATCATTGATTTACAGTTTTTTTAAATCCCAGGAAGTTAGCTCTATTCACATATGGATATAAGTGTCACTACCTACACAATAAAAAAGAGACCTATCTCAATAAGACAGAAACATGGTTAAAGGAATAACAAATGGTCATCAGAACAGAAGATTTTTTCTATAAAACTGAACTTTTGTGGGAGATGGGAGGAATGCTTGGAAATGGTGGAGGGAAGCAGAGTTTCTGGTGATAGGTGTGGTGTTGGAATGATGTAATAAAAAGTCTGACTAATAGTACTGCAAATTCCAGTACTTCAATAAAAATGGTTTCTAAAAATAGAAGCTAACAATTTAGAGGTGGGTAGAAACCTCTAGATTTGACATTTAGTTTAGTATCTTTCTTTTTTGTGCTATATAGTGAATTAGTGAGGTTAATTATAGCTGATATTTATCCTTCTCCCCAGTTTCAACCTTACATTAAGATTAGAAAAGGAGGAATGAACTATGCTATGAAGGAAAGAGCAGTGACCCTGCTCAGGTTTAAAAAAAATGGTGGGGTACAATCGGTAATTCTCAGGGTTTACTCCTGTCTCTGTGCCCAGGGATCACTCCTGATGGGCTCAGGGGGCTCATATGGGGTGCCAGGGATAGAACCCGGGTTGGCAGCATGCAAAGCAAATGTCCTACCCAATCTAATACAGCTCTGAACTTGGTGTCTAAAATTTAACCTCATCAACATAAATTAATTTACCCCTTTATGAGTAAAGCTCTGTAAAACAGTGTTTAAAAAGTCAGAAAGCTGAAATGAAGACCAGTTGTCACAAAAAAAGAGATTTATGTATAACTGTCTAGAAATAAGTAGTACTTTCTACGAGCTTACCTTAGTTCCAAAACTTAAAACCCTTGGGAGCAGAGATATATTACAGTGGGGAGGGAATTTGCCTTGCATGCAGCCAACTCATGTTCGATCCCCAGCATCCTATATGGTACCCTGATAGCACCAGGAGTGATGCCTGAGTGCAGAACCAGGAATAAGCCCTGAACACTCCTGGTTGTGGCAAAAAAAGGAAAGAAAACTCATGAACCAAAGTCTCTTCATCATTAGTCTATCCCTATAAAATAGCCTAGATAGTGGCAGCAATAAGGTATCCTTTCAGAAAGGATTAAAAGTGAGGCACAGAAATTTCTCGAAGAAACCTATTTAGGTAGCACTGTAGCACTGTCCCCCGAATGTTCATCAATTTGCTCGAGCGAGCACCAGTAACATCTCACAACAAATTGTGAGACTTGTTACTGTTTCTGGCATATCAAATACGTCACGGGGAGCTTGCCAGGCTTTGCCATGCGGGTGAGATACTCTCAGCAGCTTGGCGGGCTCTCTCAGAAGGGCAGAAGAATCGAACCCTGGGGTGGCCACCTGCAAGGCAAACGCCCTACCTGCTGTGCTGTCGCTCCAACCCACACATTTAGGTAAGAATCTCTAAATTATGCAGACTACTTGAAAATAGTTCAGAACAATAGATAGCCAATAAATACAGTTTGTTTATTTTTGTAATCCACTATGATTACATGTTCAAAAGATTGGAAATTAGGACTGGTTAAAAAATATCAAGACATGGGGGTATGGTGTCGCCAGCAGGTCAATCTGTACCTGTGAGGTGAGTACATCAGCAGCCTGATGGTACCATCAGACTTTCAGATACCCCAAAACTGCTGCTGCACCTTTGGCCAGACCTCAAAAACTTGGGGCAAAGTTTACCAAGAAAGTAAACGGCCAAAAGTCAGGTATGTGGGAGACACACCCACAAACCACCTCCGGCTCAGCTATATAATTGGAGGCATGGCCTCTCTGGTTCCTGATCGAACTGCTTAATGGCCATGAACCCAGAGACTCAGAAATGAATCTCGGAACTCAAAGGCTTTTGGCAGAAATGTGTCCTGTTCCTACAGTAGGTTACTGGTGCTGGGCCACTACAGGTGGGAATAGGTTTTCTGCCTTGTCCTGTGACCCCTGGCAGCCCAGTGACCACCATCCTCCAGAGGCCACTGGACAAACACGTTTGGGTCTGCAGTGACGAGACATATGGGGCCTCACCAGAAGGGGGTGGAACCGGCCCTTTCTTCCCCCTCCCAACAAGACCCCGAGTCGCTGCCTACAAAAGGCCTCTCTGGCTCCTGATCAAGCTGATTAATGGCCATGATCCCAGAGACTCAAAAACAAATCTCGAAACCCAGAGACTTTTGGTAGAAATGCATCTGGACTGCAGACAAGGTGGCCGCCGGCTCAGAGCTTATTGGAAAGCCAGGTATGAGCTGGAGGTAATGGGGCAACTGCAGTCTCATGGGAAGGGGGGCAGTACCGACTCGTCCTTCACACCCTACCGAGGTCACGTGTTGCCCCCCATGAGCGGCTCTCTGGCACGGCCATGGCTCCAGAGGCAAAAGAATGTAATCCAGAGCCCGGCAGCTTGCGACAGAAAAGTGAATGGACCATGCATTAAACTATGGCGCCATGCCTCCCCGGGAGGGAAAGGGTATTACTCCCTTCAGCCATTTTCTCCCCTGGCAGCAAGGTGGCCGCCACCTCACAACTTATTGGAAAGCCAGGTATGATCTGGTGGTGACGGGGCAACTGCAGTCTCATGGGAAGGGGGACAGTACCGGCTCGTCCTTCACGCCCTACCGAGGTCATGAGTTGCCCCCATGAGCGGCTCTCTGGCATGGCCATGGCTCCAGAGGCAAAAGAACGTAATTGAGCCCAGCAGCTTGCGGCAGAGAAGTGAATGGACCATGCATTAAACTATGGCGCCATGCCTCCCTGGGAGGGAAAGGGTGTTACTCCCTTCAGCCATTTTCTCCCCTGGCAGCAAGGTGGCCGCCGCCTCAGAATTTATTGGAAAGCCAGGTATGAGCTGGTGGTGATGGGGCAACTGCAGTCTCATGGGAAGGGGGACAGTACCAGCTTGTCCTTCACGCCCTACCAAGGTCACGAGTTGCCCCTCACGAGCGGCTCTCTGGCACGGCCATGGCTCCAGAGGCAAAACGACGTAATCCATAGCCCGGCAGCTTGCGGCAGAAAAGTGAATGGACCATGTGTTAAACTCCCGCACCATGGGTCCCTGGGAGGGAAAGGGTGTTGCTCTCTTCCGCCTTTTCGATCCCCCGGCAGCAAGGTGGCTGCTGCCTCAGAGCTTATAGTAAAGCCAGGTATGAGCTGGCAGTGACGTGGCAACTGCAGTCTTGTTGGAAGGGGGATGGTAGGGGGACGGTACCGGCTCGTCCTTCACGCCCTACCAAGGTCATGAGTTGCCCCACACGAGAGGCTCTCCGGCACAGCCATAACACCAGACGCACAGAAACCAATCTCGTAATTATCTGGCTCTTTGTAGAAATCCAAAATCGCGGCCATGTGACATTATAAGATTCTCATAAGCAGCTATAGAAAACAAAGTATTTCACAATGCCTTTTCAGCAATTCTGATTGTTGGGGTGAGGGGGAATTCTAAACAATAATGGTGCATCTTTTGTCGAAATAAAGAATGTAATCAATGTAGAGAAGAGTTAAGTAGAGATTACCTGTCTCACAGGCATTGGAAGGGTTGGGAGGGGGGTATATTGTGGTTCTTGGTGGTGAAAAATGAGTACTGGTGAAGGGAAAGATGTTTGATCATTGTATAACAGAAACTTAAACCTGAAAGCTTAGTAACTTTTCCAACAGTGA